GTGGATCCTGTATAGCAGTCAGGGAATAAATACTTGCCCTAGCTGTGCTGGAAAGTGTGGAAGAATGCACACTGAGACTTTGCAGTGACAATATGCTGCATTTTCAACCAGGATATTGCAATACTTTGCTGCATCCTTAGTTACACTATTAGTAACATGTGGATCCAGTACTGCAGTCAGGGAATAAATACTTGTCACTGCTATAATGGAAAGATGAATGCACACAGACGAATTGCAATGACCATATGCTGTATTTGAAACATATATTGCAATACTTTGCTGTATACTTAGTTACACTATTAGGACCATGTGGATTCTGTACAGCAGCCAGGGAATAAACACTTGTCACGGCTCGAATGCACAGTGCAGCCGAATGCACGCAGAGGAGTTGCAATGAGAGCGTGCCTGCGCTTCCGGCTCCTGCAGGCACCTCAGCTGCAGAGTCTTGCCGCGTGCTGCGCGCCCTGCACTATATTCCCCCCGCAGGCCTCCCACGAGCTTCCTGTCTGCACGTCTGGCCCGCGCAGCCGGCCCGGGCGGAAAACACACCTCTGACGTCAGCAGCCGCCACCTCTCTTATCGCGGTTTGTCACTCGTATTTTTAAACTGTCCCCTTCCTGTGGAAAAACAATAGTCAAAACAGATTTTTGTTTTCCAATAAGTAACGTACCTCTTGCTCAAAAACAATAATAACCCAGCTTTAGTCTGAGCCATGACTAAACAAACACACTTTTTGAATAATCAGGTCACTGCCCTAAATTAAAAATCCGGATATTAAAATTCAAGGTAGCAAAACAGTATATTATGTTAACACTAGTGGAAACACTGGGAACACTTAACTACTGCAGATCCAATGCGCCAAAACCATTACCCATTCATTTTTCATTACTACAAAACACAAAACTATTACAGAAAAATAAGGCAAAGAATCACAGATTTTCAGAATAACAGTATATAAAATATAAAAGAATCACAGCTAAGAAATAGCTAAATGGGTCTCACTTACTGTACATCAATAAATCCCGTTCATTCTCCTGGATCACTGACTGAGAAAACACCAGAATCTCTGCTGTGGAATAAAATTAAAAAGCTGTTTCTCCTGCTAGACATGATTTGCTCTTAACGATAGTAATTGCGTGAATGCTGAGTGGGTCCTGCGTGTCACTCAGTATATAACAATGCCCAGCTCTCACTGAAGACTATTGGTCACTCTGACGTGAAATCATTTCCTGTCACTTCGCCAGGGTGATCGATAGCTGGTTGGGACATATCAGAATGAGCAGGTGATTTGTTAAGGCCACTTGAAAATTTGGTGGCCAGGATACTGGCCCTGGAGGCGCGTCGCGTCAAGCGAAATTATTTGCCTTTCACGACAGGACTGTTATTTCAACGCGTTAAGAAGTAGTTAATGTATATTGGTTATATTTTTATCACACTTTCTGTGAGTAGTTGTAAGCAGCCCTCCCTGTTGGGTTATTAAAGTACGCGTGGCGGTTGAGGCCAGCGGAAATGACTATAAGAGAAAGCCGAAAGCAGCAGAGCGAGCGATTAATTGACATTATACATTCACTGGCGCTCATGACGCTTTATTTTTCACGACGAACATTTCGTATTCATTGCAACTTACAAATTACTCTAATTGCAAGGGTTAAAAACACGCAACGCATTCGATTTCAATTTGATTATGTGTTTTGACAGCCCAAAAAAAAAGTGTTACGCAGAGTTACACACGTATTCTTGCTTTTATATTGACACAGATATTACAGAAACAACAACAGAACCCCAACCAATACAGATGGCAACCTACTTTCCTCAATAATTGGGTTTGAGTGGAAAACAGCTGGCTGGCCTTACACGTGCAGTCTGCTTTCATTAGTTGAAATTTGCTCGGAAGCCGCCTCGCAGGGCTGGCTGTACCGCGGCGTGGAAAACGCGGCGCTGATTTTGAGGGTCTGCGCGCACCTGTTGTGGTTTAGCACCATTAGGAACAGAGGCACAGAAGTGGAAATTCTTTTATCGGAACTAAAAATATATATATTTTTTGTCACCTAGCCTCGTTTAACACGCTTAACTTTTTTTTTTTCCCCACGGTAAACAAGGCCGTTGTGTTTTACACCGTTACCCTAATTACATTTTTTTGTTACAAGGTGCTCCAATTCCTAGATCTAGTTTAATAGGACTAGTGACAAACGTAGACTGTTCAAGCTATTTGTAGACTTTGCATCTCCACAACCGCAGCATAATTGCTGGATAATTAAAAAAAA